GAAAAGGAACTCTGTCCAATCTGACTTAAAATCCATGACTTCTTTTAGTTGTGTTCTAATGTTACATGCTCAATTTCCTAAAATATATATGAAGTTCTTTTCTGCATCTTTTGGAAAATTTATGCCACATGATACATTCCTCTTATAATTTCATTAATTTGCTACTTCAAAAAGTAATTTATATTCTCTTATTTACATGAGAATAATATGATTGATTGGGTTCCCTCTTTTTGTTCTGCTGTCTAAAAGCTAACCTAAATTTAGTATTGAATTTCAGTAACCATATTCTATTATGTGCCTGGTATATGCATTTCTTACTTTCTTCTCAACAGTTCTGGTCTCACCTTTTAAAAAAAACAAAGTGTTTTTATTTTGAATTAACTAATTTTTAGGGTAAGCAGGCATAATTCCAAATTATAAAGCATTGGAATCAAAATACATCTTATGACCCATTATTCTTTTAATACAATTTAGTTTAAATAAGAATCATTGACAAAAAAGGAACCTTAATTTCTCTAACTGACAATTTTTTTTGACATGCTCATTGAAATTTATCATAAGTGAAATTGAAAAATATTGAAATAGTTTCTCAAACAAGACCCAGAAGTTCATCAACAACCTGAGAAGACACTGAAAACTGCTTAAGCATAGATATAGTTTCCAGACTAGCACTGACAGCAAGCAGAGAAACCAAAACCAGAAATAAGCCACACATAAGAAGTAAGGCAGAAAACCAAACAAATCAAGCAAAAAACTCCAAAACAAATGAAAAGCGAGGCTACTTCATTTTATTTACTTATTTTCATTTACATGGTATGATTCAACAGTGCATACATACATTTTAGAGACAAAGGATTTAAGAAAAAGAAATAGCTTTTATGAGCTTAGAATAAAATAATAGGAAGAGAGTGTATTAAAGAAATAACTCTTCATTTAAAAGGATACTTTCTTCTTTTGGGGAGAGGAGGGACTGATGAGTGACTTTTCTTTCATGGTGATGCTCCCTTATCAGCATACTGAATAATCAAAATGATTTATACCCAGAAGGACCTTGTGCTAGACATAAAACCAAATAGTGACTTTGCCATTCATCTTCAAAGAACCTCTGATTATGGCTTTTTAAAAAACTGCTTTTGTTTGATAACTGAGGGAATAACATGGATGGAGAATTTTCAACTTCCTGATAATAATGTAATTTTCTTGAATTCACAAATCTAATTTACATATTTCAAAATTTTAGAAAGCATATATTTTAAATATATCAGTACCCCATCCTTCCAATTGCAATTTATCTTAAATTGTGGAGAAATTCTAATATTTAGGAAGATTTGAACTACCCAATTCTTTTTATAGAAATAAATGTTTAGGTATTTTAAGAATCACATGCATATTAGGGCAATTTTAGTTTGGATAAGTATATGTCCTCTATTACTATCATATATTTTGTGAAAGAATAGCATAAATAAAAAAAATATAATGACAGTAAACATCTATTATAAGCACTTATTAAGTTCCAGAGACTGTTTTAAGGGCTTTACAAGCATTAATTTAATATTAACAAAAATCCTTTGAGACTGATACTTTGAGACAGATACTTTTTATTCTCAACTGTCTTTTGTAGATGAGGAAACTAAGGTACAAAGAGGTTCAACCTTGTCAAAGTAATTTACAAAGTCACTAGGTGGCAGAGATGAAAACTGAACCCAGACAGCCTAGCTTTATGGCAAGACTAAAAATCAACAAGAAACAGTAAACCAATTTTAGTGCTCAAAGTTCTAATGCCCTCCTGCTTTTCACACCCCCCTCACAAACATACTAGGGCTATGACATAATTTGTTACATGATGGGTATAAAAGATAGTTATTTTAATTTCATACCTAACTTGGGTAGATGGCAATTTAATGCAATTCAGGTAAATTATCTGGTCTCCTCTCTTTTACAACTCTACGGGCAGTTGATGTATTGGGATATTATTCCACATATGAAATGTTAAGGAATAGTTAAGTAAGAGTAATCAGTCAAATAAACATTTCCATAATTGCAATAACTGATTTTCTAATGCTACTGATAAATTCAACTATATTTCACAACTTAAAAGATATCCTGTGGTTTATTTTCTTCAGTAAATAGAAAAGTATAGTCTGAAAGAGTTATGTAAGTTAGAAATTAATAAGATTTAAAAGATAATTTGAGACATAAAAGTGATAACTGAATAACAGTCAAAGAACCAGTAAGGCGAGAAAACATTTTTAAATATGTCAAAGCTAAATTTCTGCCCCATCACACAGTACACAACTAGACATTGTTCAAAGCCATAAAATGTATGAACGTAACATGATATGCAAAGTATTAAAAAAAAATCCCTTCTCCTTCTTCTAAAAAAAATTATTGTAATTGAAACCAACAGAGGCATCTGTCGACATACCTCGAACATTCTAGCAGCAGTACACCTCACGAGTGCCGAAGTATGGACAACACCATACCACAAAACAGTTAATAGCAACTCATGGTAGGCTGGATTTGCACTAGAAGAAAAAAAACAGTGTTAACATTGAGAGCCACAGTCCCTTGCCAGTGTACTGAAAAACACTGTATTTATAAGAAATATTAATGACAAGAATATTTGCAGAACATATGGAATTACTTTGGCTAGATAGGTTACAACTAAGATTCTCTAAAAAAGGATGTCAACTTCTTTATTCAACCACAATCTTTCAGCATATTCAGAAATCCATTTTTAATTTCTCTAAGAATTTGCAATTGTGACAGATAATTCCACTCTTTTTAATAGCATGCAAGTTAAAATTATGAAGAAACAACAAATTTCTCCATGAGAAAAAAGGAAGGTACACTGAACTAAGAGTCAGGTGGGTGAGCTACATACAACCTCTGTGGGTCTTGGTTTCTGGATCTATAAAAATCGGGGAAGCAGCACATATCCTATTTATGTCACATGGTTGTCGTAGAATCAAATAAAATCAACTCAAACCATCTGTATGGAAGGGTATGTCGGCTGTGATGCCTATGCAAACGTAAGGTGGTATTATGAATAAATGCATGAGTCTGTTTTTAGTAAAGACTGAGATAAAATTATTTTAGCAGCCAGATGATGTGATTATGAGCAGGGGACTAAGCAAATCACACAGTGAAAACAGGAGCCAAAGAAACTGGCTTTCATTTGGGGCTCCTTTTTCAGTTCTGGGAAACTAAATTTTCTTCAAATCTGTACTTGATTTTATTTCTCCAACTGCTTGAAAGAAAACATATGTCTGCACCCTTTCCCCTACTTTTTAAATTACAATGTATTGATTACAAACTATTAAGAATGAACAAATAAGCAAAACCAAAAAAGGCAAACTAAAATACACAAAAAGAACCTTGAAGCTTCAAAACCAAGAGAACGGGTGTGCATGTCAATCCTTTAGAGTTAAAATATGTACTCCAGAAATCCAATCTAAAAATTTTATATGCCTTTTAGCAAACTATAAGCTGTTATTTCTTACCCTAATTCCACAAAAGAAGCCTTCAGGCTATCAAGAGGAGCATGAGATAATGAAAGCAGCGTCATTACATCTTCTAAGAATCCAACTAACAGTTTTCGGTCTTCTTCCTACAGAGGAAAAATACTAATAATGAATTTCCAAACAATCAAGTAGAACTAAATACCATATTTACCTATCTATAATGAGAAAATGTTACCAAATAAGGGGAAAGAATCCAAATTTGGAAGCTATTTAAATTAAAAGATATTTATTAATTAAGCATATCTATGGTCAGAATGGTATGAAGACAAAGACTCTCCTGATTCTTTAAGTTAGACCTGTGGTCTAATATAGTGGTAGCCACTAGCCACATGTGGCTACTTATATTTAAATTTAAATAAAAAATTACGTAAAGTGAAAGATTCAGTTCCTTGGTTGAACTGTGTACAATGCAAAGGCTTAATGGACACACGTGGCAAGTGCCTAACTGATTGGATAACTCAGCTATAGATTATTTCCATCACTGTAAAAAGTTTGGATGATCCTGATTTAGAATATTAAAAGGTATAATCTTATATTAAAATTTACCTTACCAATTTTAGTTTCCATGAATTTTGGCTCTATATAATACAAACTATTAGAATAGTCATCCCCTGTAGAAAAAAATAGTAGAAAACTGATTTCTAAGAAATTATCTTTGGAATATCTTACGGGTGAAAACTAACTGCAAGCTTGGTAAAATATAGACTACTGTGTTCTTTTAAGAAACAGTTGCATACCTTGATTAAAAAAAATCTGCATTTTTCAAAACTTTCTTTAATGAACTATTACTTTCATAATCAGAAAATATGTTAGAAAAAGAAAACCTGCTAAATTAAGAGAGTAAAAAAAAAATAACTTTGTATGTTAAATTAACCTCAATATACAGGGGAAGGGAATCTGACAGTTTGTTGGAAAATAAATACATAATAAAATCAAGTTGACATTAGGGACACAGAAGGTCTGCAGTAAATTTTAACAGATCACAGGAAGTCTACAACAAATCAAAAGATCCATGAAGAAGACTGGATTATCACCTACCTCTTTTACTTCCTACATAATCAGGTTAGTTTAGAATGAAGTAGAGATAAGGACTGATAAAAGTAACACGAAAAAAGGATGAATACAACAGCTTTAAGACCTGCAGTTTACTAAGTCTACTTAGTAAAAACTGTAGACACTGACACATTAGCATCAGGGCAATGCTGGAATTGTGATTTCACCCATTTTTAGTTGCCTATTATTTCAAATATAAAATAGACATAACTTTGGAAAAGAAACCGGAAATCTGAGAAAAACTTAAATGTAAAATAAGAGGTACAAAATAAGACTTCTCAATAAGTATGCATTCTTTTGATTTTTAAAAATTTGCTATAATCTTATTTATCATTTTCGGAATCTCAAAACAAGTAATACTGCTTATATATTTGATTCAAGATAATTTTTGTTTACTGTGTTTTATCCTAACAAAAATTTTTGTTTAGTAAGATAAACATTAACTGGTGTGCTTCCTAAAATAACCCCAGCAATCTGTGATTGCTACCTCAATTTACTATTTATTTTATAATAAGTTGAAAAGTTCTTATGTCTTTACAGATATGAATAACATGCTAAGACTTCATAATGACTCGAAAGAAATGTCCCTTATTCATTTATTCAACAGATCCATTCTGAGGGCCTACTATGAGCCAAACCTTGTTCTTTTTTTTTTGAGATGGAGTTTTGCTCTTGTTACCCAGGCTGGAGTGCAATGGCACGATCTCGGCTCACCACAACCTCCGTCTCCTGGGTTCAAGCAATTCTCCTGCCTCAGCCTCCCGAGTAGCTGGGAATACAGGCATGTGCCACCATGCCAAGCTAATTTTTGTATTTTTAGTAGAGATGGGGTTTCACCTTGTTGACCAGGATGGTCTCGATCTCTTGACCTCGTGATCCACCCGCCTCGGCCTCCCAAAGTGCTGGGATTTTAGGCGTGAGCCACCGCGCCCAGCCCAAACCTTGTTCTTAGTAGTTAATTATTATGATTTAAAATGTTATTTATGGTCAAAATAAAAATATTAACAAAACTTCAAGAGGGCGAAAAAGAGAATAAAATACTGACACCACACATTATACAAGAACACTTTCCAAAGTTAAAGAGGAGACTGGTAGGTATGCTGTTGTGTCTGGCACTGTTAGGACTTACTATATTTGATTGCCATAAATTTATGAACAACAGATACACTTTATTAACATACATGACTTAAAATATTTTAAAAACAGAAGAGTATCCATATCAGGGTAGTATTAGAAACTAGGGTAGAAAAGAAAAATTTAAAAGAATACTGTGCCACTTTAACAGAGCTGTAACTTCCATTGCAAGGTAATATGTGATAACAACTTCTATTGCAAGGTAATATGTATTCTAGGTTAAAAATTCAGGGAACCATTGGAAAAGGTGTTCCTTCTTCATTCTTACATGTTAACTTCTAAAAGTGCTTTATCCTGAGTCAGTATTTCCACCTTACTGGTGGGGCTGCCTCATACTTAAAAATTACTACTATGCTTTGAGACACATCATCATATGTTATTTACTTAAAACAACGTTAAGTAGAGTGTAGCAGCCGTTATATTGGTGGCCACCACTAAACCACACCTCCTAGTTCATATCCTGGCTTACTTCCCTCCTTTTGTTTTAATCTGGGTTGGGCCTGTAACTTATTTAACAAGAGACTGCAGTAGAAATGACGTTGTGCTAACTCTAGGCCTAAGCTTTAGCCTAGCAGATTCTGCCTTTTCATTCTTGGGAGCCTTTAGCCACCATGTGGTAAGTCTGGCTCTGCTGCTTCAGAAGCCATGTGAAAAGAGAGAGGTCCTGGGACTTATTTAGAGTGGAGACCCCCTCAGCTAACCTACTTATTGCAGCAACAGAAGTGACCACCAGGAAGAACAGCAGAAGAGGAGAAAGCTGTGTGAGGCCCAGATTGCAGAATCATGAGCAAATGAAACAGTTATAATAGATCATTATGTTTTGGGGTAATTTGTTATGCAGTAAAAATTAAGAAAAATAAATTTTCAGGTTGAGCATCCCTAATCTGAAAATTCAAAATGCTCTAAAATTTGAAACTTTGTGAGTGGCAAATTGATGCTGCGTGTGAAAGCCTGTTGTCATTTGCTGTGGCTGCTGCGGATATGTATTTCACTGTATTAAAGACATGTTATATTTTCTTATTGTTAAGTACCTACATGTGAAAAAGTATAAGAAAACGATTGCTCATTTGTAGCATATAAATGCAAAGTCAGGAACGATGGTCATGCCAACCAACCAGATTGTCCACATGGGTGTCTGAGACAGTGACTCCTTTGCTTTCTGATGGTTCAATGTACACAAACTGTTTCATGCACAAAATTATTTAAAATATTGTATAAAATTACCTTCAGGCTATGTGTGTAATGTGCATACGAAATACATTTTGTGTTTAGACTTGGGTCCCATCCCCAGAATATCTTATTATGTATATGCAAATACTCCTTTATCTGAAAAAAAAAAAAAAAAAAATCCAAAATCTGAAAACGATTTTGTCCTAAGCATTTGATAAGGGATACTCAACCTGCATTATTAAAAAGTACTTAGCTAAAAATGCTGATAAGGTACAGTATTCTACAGCACTTTGTAGTTTAGTTCACCTAACACATGTGTTCTGCTTGTCATTTATTTATGAAAAACATTATGGAAGACAAAGAAACTCTACTAAGTAAGTACAATCTAACACTTCTAACACAATATCAAAAAGCTCATAATCTCTAAATTTATTTGTTCAACTGAGGTTTTAGTCAGGCCCTTATTATTCATATATGCTATCCATTATAAATTATTTATTGTTTTCAAAAATTGTAAATTGTTTTCCTTTATTGGTAGCAATGTCACATACATACACGTTAAGAAGACACAATATTAGGTGTTTTTCTAAATAGAAGAAAGACTTTTACTAGAGAATCAGAATTTTTCCCTTACCTGAATATAACATGTAAGGACTCCTGTTGCATAAATGGGGACTGTAGCTTTAGTGAGGACCCCATTTCCTGCTGAGGAATCTAAAATTATTAAAATAATTTAAAAAATAAGTATATTTTCAGTGTAAAGAATAAAATCACAACGTGATTATATTTAAAATCACAACTGTTTATGAGGTTACAAATAAATATTGTCATTACTTTGAAAAACATGTTTATTAGTGGTTGTGAAATACAACTTAGTGCTTCTTGAAGAGCCATTAGCATAAACATTTCAGACAAATGGGAAAGAACATGAATAACCAAAACAAGATGTTATACTCTTGATTTCCATAATTGGAAATCAGAACTTTCCTCTTGAAAGTCTTCTAAGTGTCCATATAGGCAGATATCCAACATTTTTATGTTTTCAAGTTTCAGTTTAGTAAAATGTAAAGGCATTCACCTAAAAACACCTAGATATGTGTTACTTGATCTGTTTCTAGATAGAAGGTAGTTTCCCATACTAGCCTGATTTCCTGAGCCCCTCCTGCATCCTCAATAGGGTTTTCAGCCAGACAGAATCCTGATTATTTTCATGGAGGAGGAAGGAATCATGCTAAGTAAAGCAGAGAAAAAGGAGAAAGCAGGCAATCATAGTTGTGTGCCCTGTGACTGCTTTAAAAGAGATTTTCTTATACAGCCTCTGTGGACAATTCCAAAAGGAAAGTTGTAGACAATGATAGTGAGATGCTAATTATTATTCACAGTACCCAGACCTCTTATTTACTGATCATGAGGCACTGTTTTAAGTGCTTTATGTTTGCTGTTATATTACCAAGAATATTTTTTTACTATACTTATTTTTTTTATATGGCTTTAAATTATTTTCTGAGGGTACTACATAAAAAAATTGAGTTGAAAAGATTTATTTAACTAACTGCCCTGAAGAAATTTGCAAAAAAGCAGTTCCATTTTCACATTAATTAGTATTTGATGTTTGTTTATTCTCTTGGTAATAGTACCTTTTTCTTGGGGAGTGTTGATGTTAATGTCAGAACATAAGCTTAAAGTATATTCATAAATATGGACTACATATACAGGGGTTAATAATTACTTCCTATTTCAACAGCTAAACATTCATGGCTAACTAATAATTCCAAAAGCTGTCAGTTTTTAAAATATTTACCTTTTTTCTTCACTAATTTATCACAACCATTAACAATTAACATATAATACCAACAACTTAGGCATTCCAAATATCAGTCCTTTAAAAAGACATTAAAAATAACCTTCGGGAGTTATTTGTCATCCCCCACCCCCACCTCGACCCCCCATAAAATCTCTTCAATGTCTTCAGGCTCAAAAGAATTAATTTATTCATTCTCTGACTACCTCTGAGGACTGCCAAAAATGGACTTTTCTAGACCATTGAACTCAAACCACTAAGGTGTGTGTATATATATATATATTCTCTATATATTGATATATATGTATTCAAAATCAACCAAGTTAAAAATGGGGGTGAGGGTGCTACACATGTTCCACAGTTTATTCCTAGAAACTAGAAAAATACACAGTGACACAAGATCCATATACAAACAAGTCCTTAGGCCAATGGCACCATAACTAGACTTCTTAAGGTAGATGAGGGAAACTATCAACAAAGTAGCTGGAGCTACCCAGTCAAGCCTGCCGTTTCTCTCATGTTTCATTTTGAAAACATATATGGATATATACTGTTCTTTTCTACTATGTTTAATTTTTAAAAGTATTAAATAACTAATTAGGAATTAGATGCAACTTATTTTATAACTGTCAGTCTCTTGAATATACTACTTCAAACCTCTAAACGTATGAGTACCCAGGTTGCAAAGCTCAGCCTTACATCAACTTGGTTACAATGAAGGTATATATTTACAATCAGATCGACAGGGATTAATCTCACTGCCACCTCATAGGAAGGATATTAGATGTGATACACTTATAAAAACCAAGAACTCCATAATATAAATTTTCCATTTTGATTGTACTTGCAAGTTCATTTATACAATTTATAAATATGGAGAATATAGTATTTTTCCTGCATAAAGAAATGCAATTGTTTTTAAAAGTAATAATGACAAACTTACCAATATTTTCTTCAGATAGTCTTAAAATCTCCTGGAACTGAGGTTTTACCTAAGCAATCCAAAGAAAAGATTCAAAAAGTCTCAGGTTCAATGGACCAATTGATTAAATGAAATGTCTACTACTGTTGCTACTACTATTTATTTATTTATTTAGCTTTATAGATGACTTGAGTCAAGTAGTCAGAAATATAATAATTCTTAATCCTGAGTCTTAGGATAAAAAATTCAAGTTACTGAAAATAAAAACTTTAAGGATAAATTTTTGAAAAAGATTAGCTCAGGTCAACAACTACTTTCTGAATGGCCTCTGGTTTCTCTTATTAAAATAATTTCCAATATGATTTTAAGTGGTTGTAATTACTGCTTTCTAAAACTGAACTTGGTTATAGAAGTATTACTTAGGTAGATATTATGTGGTTAGAATTATTGAAAAAAGCATTTGGCTGTATTTTTAAAAAATGAAAAGGAAATTTCAGTCACTTGAGGTGTTCAGTAAGTATCATAGTCATCATGTGACATTTATCTTAATCTTTTATTATAACTCTTCAAATTTAAATATGAAATACAGAATTTAGTTTAATATTTTAAGTTAGAACAAAGACTTGCTTAAATGTTTTATTACTAAAGTTATCACAGATTTCAGGCCACTCAAGACAACCACTTACTGTTAAGTGAACAAATGGATTCCTACTTGCTTTTCTAAAAAAAAAAAAATAGCTACTTACTTTGGAGATATCAAACAATTTCTGCCAATACTGATAACAGGGAAATCAAATTATATTTGTTTAACAACTGAATGCTACAGAAAAACATAAAATAATTTTGTTTTTCCTATAATAACATCAAGGTCTGGTGTTTGCCCTCCTCTCTGTGGGTGAGGCACATAATTTATACATTTAGCTTAAACTGAGAGAAAGACCAATGTTAAAAGATTCATCTATTGAATCATACTTATAGAAGTGAAAGATACTTCTGTAAAAATTCTTCATTTTACACATGAAATGACTAAGGCCAGAAAATTTAAATTATTTATTAAAGGTCACAAACATTAGTCAACAGATCACAGGACCGTAACCTAAATCTTCTGAATTTTGTCCTGTTCCTTATATCACACTATTTGCTTTAAATGTTTCAACTATAGATTTAATAGTAAAGAGTTACACTAAATCAAATTTAATAATTAAAATGCTAACCTTTTAAATGTCTTGATTAACATTTGATTATAGAAACTATATCTTTTTATGTTTTTTATTAGCTCTCTAAAGAACTGGCTTAACAAAATGTTATGAAGACAAATGGTTTAATAGGTTAATGAATACATTAGGATCTAATGACATTTCAATTTTAATATCTGAAACTACAAAATAACCTGTATGGGCTTATGTGACAAATGATACTTTTGGTAATGACTGAAATATGTAGAATTTATCTCCAGTGTCCATGCTATTCTAAGTGGTGGTATCTTCGCAGCAAGTTTTATATATAAGTTGCTGTGGTTCCACAATCACTTGAGGTTTTTACCAAAGTGTCCTGAGCAAACAGCCGCTTCCTGAACCGGTGATAGTAAGTACCAGCAGCACACTCAAAGGATTGTGGTGGAGCTCCCTAGCTGACACTTCCTATACTGAAAATCTTTGAGGATATCCACAATGAGTAAAGCTTATATTCAAGTCTGGGTATGAACTAAGCTTAGGCTAAATCATCTTCTGAAAAATCAGTAAAGTTAAGAATATTACCAACTAGAACTTTTTTTTTACTATCATAGTATTCCAAGATACTAAAGAAGTGAATTAAATAAAAGAATGGTTCATGCTTTTATTTATTGTTACAGTGTTAACACATTACATTTCTATGTCTTTTTCATATAAGAAAACATAGAATACAAGTTTTTACCTTAGTGTTTGTAAAAATTTTGCCAAATGTCCGGCAAAGGCGCCAGAAAAATCTGGAGAATTCATGGACACAGGCAGTTGAAGTAACATTAATTTTGCCAACTATTTCTATAAGTTGTGGCAACCTGAATATGAAAGGAAAGAAAAATAGGCAGGGGGTACATATAAATTACTGTTTCCTTGCCAATTTCTGAAACAATGCAAATCTAACAACCTCTTCTATTTCATTCCCTGAAAGGAAAGGCATTGTTTGGGACCTTCTGAAAATGCTGTGAGATTACATTATACTGTATACACTTTAAAAAATAAATTTTAGCTTTTTGCCAGAAAATATATGGAAAATGGTAGAATTCT